TTTTAAGCTCAAGTTTCTAACTAAAAATTAAGCTAAATATATTTAAACAGCTGGAAATGACATGCAGGCAAATTTCTCAAAATACGGAACATCCAAGTGATTTAGGTACAGAGAACAGACAAAGAGGTTAGGACTGAGATATGTAGGCAGCTCTGTATGGCTTATTGTCTATGGCTTTTTCCATGTGAAAGCAAATAAAAAACTTCTTAATGAGAGGCAGCCCTGAAAGTAAAATCTCTACTGTTGCTTCCTCAGCTATAATAAATCTTACTGGACCTAAATGGTTAAAAGAGATGAACTCCAGTGTCTCTCCATTTCTGGAAGAGCCATTTCACAACCCAGGAAAACTCAATATTGAGCAATAAAGGAGTAACAAATTAATCAACCATGGAAAAAAAATAAGCCAAGGTCATGATGATGGCTTCCAGCATTTCTGATGATTCTGAAACTCAAGAGCAGAAAAATTTTAGAAGATTTAGTCTGGTTTGTACAAGAGAATTCAGGGGAAATACAGTTGTTTGAATGGATAATCACAGGGAAATTCTGGCTGCCTAAACATTAATGCTCTAAAAGAATGACGTGCCTTCATCTCCATAAAAAGAATACCTTAATTCATCCGATGCTGCAGGCTTCTTATTGCAGGACAGCTTTCCTAAAACTTACATATAATTCTTAAAAATAACTTTGTAAAGTAGTAAGGGCAGTATCAGCAGGTTTTCAAGAATCCTAAATTGGTAATGATAATGCCATCTTCTGGCAAAAAGAGAAAAGACCTTCACCACTGCACAGCAAATAACAGCTAGAATTTCCCAGGTATTGCCAGGATCTAATTTACTTTTTTGAGATTACGTTGTTTTCTGGTACAGACCAATATAGCATTCTTTGAGGTGATAGTTCGATATAAAAGCCCAACCAAACCTTGATCCCAGCAAAGCTATGAATAACTTCACTAAAAATAGAACAAAGACAAAAGTCTTAAGTTCCTTAAAACAGCTGAATATAACCTCTGTTCTGAGAAGGAAGGGAGTGAGTTTGAAGGCACAATTCACTATGAGCATGTAGTTCTAATGTCAAAGAGAGGTAAGTCAGTTCATTTTGTTTATGTGGCGAAGACCTGAAGTCTCCACAACCTATTTCTTAGCAAAAAAGTTTTACAAAAATCTCAGCATTACAGCACTTGCCTGATGGTAATGGATAAGTACTTATTGTAAACAGTGTATATATTTCTTAAAGGGACCAAACTGAAAGCACAGATCACTCTCCTGCTTTGGTACTATAGGGTTTTTAAGGGGCACAAAGATAGGGAATAAATCAGGTGTAAGTACTGGAAAATAGTGATTATTTGTATTGTGAGGAAATCAATTCACCACAGAATTATGCTCTAGGAGCTGATCCTCCACTTTAAAATGCTCTTTTAAAATACTTATTAATTAGCTTTTAGACACATGCTTTAAGTCACAATGCAAAGTAGAGAAAAGACTGGCTTTCAAAGACAGTGTCAGTTACTGAGCATAAAAGGAATCTTGTACCTGCACAGATTATATTAAGAATAAAGCAGCCTTAGACCACTTTATCTGAATCCTTTTCATATTCTGAAATATTAAAGATCTCTGAAAGATTAAAGATCTACTGCTCACTTAAGTAAGCAAAGCACACATACACCCTGATACCTGCTACTCATATTTACCTGGCAATTCTAGTCAATTTTCATTGGTACTTCTTATTGTCACCACTCAGACATGTAACTAATATCACTATAGCCATGGAGCTCTTAGAGTGGGTCCAGAGGAGGGCACTAAGATGATCAGAGGGCTGGAGCACCTCTCCTATGAGGAAAGGTTGAGGGAACTGGGCTTGTTTAGCTTGGGGAAGAGAAGGCTCCAGGGAGACCTCATTGTGGCCTTCCAGTACTTGAAGGGAGCATATAAACAGGAGGGGGAACGGCTGTTTATGAGGGTGGATAGTGATAGGACAAGGGGGAATGGTTTTAAACTGAGACAGGGGAGGTCAGGGTTAGATATTAGTTCTTCACACAAAGGGTGGTGACACACTGGAACAGGATGCCCAAGGAAGTTGTGGATGCCCCATCCCTGGAGGCATTCAAGGCCAGGCTGGATGTGGCTCTGGGCAGCCTGGTCTGGTGGTTGGTGGCCCTGCACATAGCAGGGGGACTTGAAACTAGATGATCATTGTGGTCCTTTTCAACCCAGGCCATTCTATGATTCTAAGATACGATTCTATGATGTAGTGGAGAAGTGAAGCAATCTTGTGTGCTGCTCCAAGCCTTACAAATGTAAATTAATGCAACTATACATTTCGCTCTGCAAGTGATCCATTGCCGTCGTTCTGAATCATAAAATGTGGTCTGACTGTTAATATGAGGAACAATTCTCAAGGGCATCTGATAAAAGTAATCAACATACAAAGCCTAAACATCACCTTGTTTTCCCATCTGTCACTCTATATCAGATAAATCAGTCCACCTCACAGCTTAGAGAAACAAACGTTAAGAATCTAAAAAAATCCATAAACACATGTACGTATGTTAACTTTTCTGACCACAACTATACCAAAGTATTGTACTCATTGTTAGTAACAGGTTACCCTAAGATGTCTTCAGAACAGGCTCTGAGTCCGTGTTTTTTTGGAGTATAAAAGCAGAAAATCAAAATGAAGCCAATTTTTGCGGACAATCCTGTAGGAGAGAAAAGGGAGACTTATTCACTCATGTTACCAATCACTTACCTTTATTTCTTATTCATCTGAGAACTAAGTTCTTTTCAGACTATGACAAAACCAAGTCTGATTGAGCCCTCCAGAAGTGAACAGCTGATATGCTTCTCAAAGGTAGCACACCAAATGCTTTCTCTTTAATTATTCTGATCCCATCTCTCAGACATGAGGACATTACTGTGAAGAACAGGGTCACAGAGAGATTGCACTTTTATAAATACAAGCTCCACAATAAGAGATATTATTTCCATTTAAAAAAAGGTGATTTTATTTAATGCAGTAGATGGGGAGCTATGAAACTCTGCTTCAAACATTTATAGATCACTGCAGCAGATTCATTCATAAAATCGCAGGATTACATTACAGAAATCCCTGTCCATGTACATGAGATACTAAAGCTTTTTAGTTGAAACAAGCGTTGTAGCAGTTCTGAACATACAAGAAATATAGCTGAATGCTACCAATAGATAACCATCTATGGTCTTTGTTTAATAACTGGGAAGGAGGGAGCACTTCTGGTGTTGACTGACAACCATTATACAGCCCAACAATGACACAGGTCTCCTCTGTGCACCAATGATGCAGACAACCCTGAATTGCTATGATTAATTTTTGTATTCTCTGCAACAGACTTAAAAATTACCACTCTGTGTCAGTTATTGTGTTTTCAAACACTTTCTAATTTGCACGAGATGTTCATTATGGCAATAATCCCTTCACACCAAGAATAGCACAGCGAGCTCAGCAGAAGAGACCCACAGCTGACACCCGACAGCTGCTGGGAACAGCAGCTGCATGGAAATGGGAAGTGTCCAATACTCAAACACACTCCAAGAAAAGAATCCCAGAGTTAAATCGGGATGCTGATTATTTGAAAATTGTGCCTAGGATTCTCCTGCCAGTGAGATTTAACAAATGGCACTCAATATTTACTTTATAATTATACCTAAACAAGCTGCTGTGCATCTGGAATTACACTGCAAAGCTCAGAGGGACAACACACGCCTGTGGTTTGCCTCGAGGCAGTCATTGCTCTCCCTGCTACATTTAGTCCCAGAAGGACCAACTGTGTAGTTTCAACCTGTTAGGAGCCTGCAGGCATTCCTCCGGGGACACACAGGGCATGCAGCTCGCGGGGAAGGGATCGGCCACTTACTGACGGCTCCAGGCCGGGAGCCGAGGAGGTGGCCCGCGGTCCTCGGACGAGGCCTGGCAGTCGGATCACAGCGCGCTCCCCTTCCCTCTTTGCCGACCTCCTCTTCCTTCCCGGAGCCCACAAGAGGGGACGGGGCTGCGGGAACGGGGACGGGGCTGAGGGAACGGGGACGGGGCTGAGGGAACGGGGACGGCACGCTGGGGAGACCACCCGCCGCCCCTCACCGACCGTGGCAGACAGGGAGGCGGCGGCGGCGGCGCCCAGGCCGCGTCTCCATAGCAACGGCGCCTTTCGCGCTTCAAACACTCGCGCCCACCGCTAGCGAATGGGGGGCGAGGAGGAGGTGGGGATGTATCGCGATTGGTTGGAGTGAATCGTCAATCCCGCCCCAGTCCCGCCCACTCTCCATCCCGGAAGTACAGGTGAGGGCCGGCAGCGCTGCGTTCCGTGCGGGTTTCGTTCTCTCCTCCCGCTCGACTTCCGGGCCGCTTCTCCCCAGCTCCCCTTTCACTGGTCCCGGCGTGCAGCTCTACGTGGCGTCCTGGGATTGCGGCGGTAACGCCCCCTCTCTCGGCCCCCACCCGGCCCCTCCGTCGTGGGGCCGCCAGTCCGGCTCCCCTCCTCGGCTCCCCGCCTCTGGAGAGATCCGGTCACACCCGAGGGCCGCCCGACCTCGTCCCGCACACAGCCAGAGCCTGCCTGCCGCCCGCGGCACGGGAGCGGCGGGCTGGAGGCTGTGCACCCGCGGGCTGTTCGTCCTTGCGGGGTCGTTGCGGCCGCGCGGCGTTCCCTGTCTCGCCCGGGAGGTGGCGGTGACGTCCTGGTCGCGGTGTGCGGGGCCCTGTCTGTGATGCTGGTAGCGAGGGTTGGGTTTGGTGCGGCTGATGGGGAAACTTGCTGAAAAGCGTAAAGAGGAGTGAAGCGAGGGGGCTGCGTGCCGCCCTGAGGCTTTGCTGCTGGTGGGTGATGTTACCCTGTGCTCTGATCTCCACACGGAGTTGTTGTCACGGTGTCTCATAGGACGGTGAAGGGGAAAACAGCGCTGTGTAAATGTGTTTTCTATTGAAAACAGCGATGCTGCCAAGGTAACAAGTTCTACCTGAGGCAGGGAGTTGCTGTGTGCTTTAAAATGGATTTCTCATCTGCTTTGCTTTTGGACTTTAAGAACTGGTTGCCTTGGCTACACAACTTTTGCTTCCAGCACTTGTCACTTAAGAGGTGTGTGGTTGCTACTTACATCAAATTAATGCTTAACTTGAGTGTCAAGAAGCTTTTAATTTTGTATCACAGCTTTATATCTAGGCCGGATGACAGAGCGCCCATCCTCTGGCATCGTGTTGCTCAGCTTTGCCGCTGACATCCTGAGGAGTTCTGTGCTGCAGGGCATCTGTGTTGGCAGTTATTTGTGTTTGTCACTCCCAAGTAATGTTGAGGTATTATCTTTGCACAGTGTCTTTAGATTTTTGCAGTGAAGAAGCTTCAGACTGTTACATTTCTGGCTTCTGTTTTACTTTGTCATTTTACCTCACTCTAACGTAGCGTGTAAAATAGCAACTGCAAAGAAGTGGCACACAAGTCATATTTCATGCTCCTTGAGAACTTTTTTTTTTTTTTTTTTTAGTTTTCTGTGAGTTTCTGGTTTTGAAAGGAAAGGGCTTAATTTTCACGTTGATAGTTCACATGGGTGGTTACTAAGATGCAGTTTAGCTATGCAGTAACAGTGAAGGATTGGATGACTTTTAGCCTGTGCTGAGAACATTTTCTGATAAACATGGCTTGTCTGCTTGAGCTCTGTGTTATTTGTGCTTGATTCTCTGTGCTCTTCTGCTGCTCTTCTTGCAGTTAAGAGGGGGACATGGCTGTAAGAGCATGTGGCTTGATAATCTACAGAAGACTGCAGCCATCACCATCTTCTAAGGCTGCTGACAGTATTGAATACCTCCTCCTCCAGACATCTTATGGGACCCATCACTGGACCCCCCCCAAAGGTGATGTTTGTTCTGATAACTTCAGTGTTGCTTGTGTCAGGAACGATATTTCTGACTGAATTTGGCTGAATGCTCCTAAGGTTAGCTTTGGGGGCAGTTAACTAGCTACATTCACAGCTAATTGTGCTCTTTGGGCACCAGAGTGAGAAGCTGTATGGCTCTACCAGAGCCAGTATTTGGTGGTACATGGTGGTACCAGAAAAATCACAACACAGAAATATTTCAAGTACATTCTGCGTTTTCTTAAATACTGTTTCTTCCCCCTAGTTTGTACTTCTTATTTTGTAAAATACTACTCTAAACAGGAGTTTATGAATTGGGGGGAAAAAAGCTACTAACAAAATTAGCTAATTAAAATTAGCAGAATTAATTAGCTGTGTTCTTCTGTTAATGAGCAAACTTTACAAACCTCTCCTTCTGTCCACTTCACCAAAAACCTAGCTAGAAGAGTTTGCAACCTAGTGGGAAACCAAGGGCCATAACTATTATGAGAGGAGAGACCCATGTGAAAAGCTTTCTCAGGGAATGCAGAAATTCTGAACATGCCAGCATGTTGGCAAGTGAAAAGTCTCAAACACGTGTATCTCGTGCAGTCAGATCGTAATGTTAAGGTTTTATAGATTAAAAAATGAAGGAGTTGTTACATTTTATGTTCTCTTCAGTGTGAGTGGTCTTCAAAGGCAGTTCCAGGTTGCAAAAATTTCCATACAATACAGATACAAATTTAAAGTGATTATAACTTTTAATACTCCTGACACCTCTCCAGGTGCACACAGGATACAAGTCTACTTATGACTACAGCTGCACGTTGATATCTTTAAAGTTCCCTAAGCAACCTTTATGGAATTAAACTGCTTGCCTGGATTCCCCCACATAAACACCACTCTGATCTGTGCTCTTAAAACTGTGACCTGGTACAAATTGAGTCTGGTGAGACGAGATGCAGGGTTTGTTTTCCTCCTCAGCATATTGGGACTGCATGAGTGTGAATGAATTTGAGGAGCTGAAAGCTGCAGTGATGTGCTGTCCGTTGTCCTTTTTCTCTTCCGGGTAGGCAGAGTATACCACTCAAAGCTGGAAACTTGCTGAGCTTAGGGCAGAGGTTAGCAATAGTGGGGTGTGCTGGTTACCTTTTGCTGTGCTGGCAGCCCAGTGGTAGCATCCGTGTCCTGTGAGTTGAAATTGGACCCACCCTCCAGTTTTATTGCTGCCTCAGCTCACTGCATTTTTGGTATTGATAGGTCATGATTGTTATAAACTTGTTCTTTACTGTTCTTGGATGTTCTGTGGGACTTGCTGTGGAGAAGATAAAAGAAATCTAGTTGTGCAAGACTAGGTGTATTCTTTTTCTCAGCCATTAGTAGAAGTCCCAGCTTTGGAAATATGCGTATTCTTCAGAAAGAAGGAGACTTTGACTTGCAGTGCTGAGAGTCAGGGGAAATAATTTTTACTTAAAGCTACTGTGTGTTTCATCTCAAATATTTAAAACATCAAATGCAGTGTCAGATGCTGTTTTTTGCAGTTATTTTTTAAATAGAGTTGTGTTTTACATTTGAGAAAGTGTCACGTAAAAGGATGGTTAAGTTACTGATACATAAAGATGTAAGAGAGGCCTCTTGACAAAGCAAAATGAACTTCCCACATACACCAATTTGATTACTAAAAGGTGGCTTTGGGTGCCTGAAACCTGAGAAAATACTTGTCTCTGTGATAAGTTGTGGCTATATGCAGACACCTAAATAGAGAGTGATACCAGAGGCAAAATAAAGCTTTTTTTCTCTCCCCCTTAACCCCCCACCCCTTGAAGCCTCTCAGCTCATGTTTCATTGCTTTTTTGAGATCTTGCTTGGCTTGTTCTATTTATGGTCTTGTCTGGATCTTTCATGAGAAAACCAAATCTGACATTTCTCAACAAAAATACAAACAGCTGGGGATATGGGGATGTGTTATATTTATCCTTTGTTTGTAATGGCCGCTCTCATTCTAAGCAACATAAAACAAATAGGGTGTCCTGGAGAACTAAAACAGCCACTGGCAAGACTGGCATTGAGGTGTGCTGTACTTCACAGGGTAATATGGAAAAAAAGTACAAAGACTCTTTAACTGCTGCATGACCCAGTGCAATAGAAAATAGTGGTGGTCTCTGATAACTTAGCATCCAAATGTTAGCATCCAAGTGTTCCTACTGTGGCTCAGGAATTGTAGCCTACTTTTGGAGTACACCAATATTAACTATGAAGCATAGCAACCTTGTGTGTTTTCCAGCTAGTGATTTCATGATTGACTTCTTAGTGGTTTAGGATGTGCTGAAACAAGGGAATACATGAAGCTGATTTGGTTCTGTTGGTAACTTTCACTTTTTTTTTTTTTTTTTTTTTTTCTATAAAATAATGTTGAAATTTTATAGTGTTCATGAAGTTGTCCTAAGCTGTGAATCAAGAGATTCAAAGGTTTTTTTTGTGAAACTCACCTTTCAGATGGAATTTGCTAGTGTCTGGTGTCATTGTTTCTGTGTTGTTTGTGTGAATAAGAGTTTTGCAGAACTGAGTCTTGAGCTTCACTGGGAGGGAAGAAGTTGAGGGAGAAGACTAAGAGTCCTGGAAATCAGCAGTCTCCTTTTGTGCTGGCTAAAGGAAAAATACTCAGTAAGCACTCAGTTCTTAGCCTGAGGTGTAGTGTTAGCTGGACCACTGTGGGTGCGTGGTGCTCCAGAAGAGGAGGGTAGGGCTGGGAAGAAAAGATTTCTCATGCTAACGGGCCACTGGTTATTTTGAAAGATGCGGTATGAACAACAATTGTAAAAGCCACAGGAGCAAGATCAAGGCATAAATGTTTGAAAAGCAACCTCCTTTCTCTGATTCTAGCTTGATTATTCGTCCGCTATTGCTTTCTCTCTTCTCTCTCTTAATATTTCTCAGTTGTCAAATGAAGAAACAATATCTCAGTTTTTGTCTTGAAGATTTGTTTTTTTTTATGCTCTTGACAGGCCATGTGGATCCAGGAGAGGATGACTTGCAGACAGCCTTCAGGGAAACACAGGAAGAGGCAGGTCTTCAGGCCAGTCAGCTCACTCTTGTAGAAGGGTACAGGAAGGAACTGCACTATCCTGTCCATGGCAAACCCAAGACTGTTGTTTACTGGCTGGCAGAGGTGAAGGATTATAACACAGAAATTAAGCTCTCAGAGGAGCACCAGGCTTTCCGCTGGCTGAAGCTGGAGGATGCTTGCAAATTTGCAGAATATGAGGATATGCAAGCAACTCTGAAAGATGTGCATCAGTTTCTCAGCTCTGACAAATAAATGCTTTTGTGAAGAGCAAGAAGAATTTTTGGAGAAACAGCCTGATATATATATTTTTTTAAACTTAATTTTAATTTTTGGCAATAGAAGTACTATGTGGCTGCAGAAATATACTTTGTTTTCTAAACCTCTACAAAGTCAGTGATAGATACTTGGGGCTTTTAACGAACTTTGTCTCCCATAGCTGATGTAAAAATAATGTGGTCTGACTGAACTGTAAGATGAAGAGGTGTCTGAGTTGAAGCCTTGAGCTAACAAAGTCTCTCTGTGTTCCTCTCCATTTTTTTTTTCTTAAAGTGCTGAATAATTGTGTCTATTTTTTAAAATCGAGCACTTGATGTTTCTTGACTTGCTGATATAGATCTGTAGTGTTGTAAAAATGAGCATATGGAGATTTTTTAATTATAAAATGTGTATTGCAGAAGTCGCATCTCCCATTTAAAATAGGGCAGCAGTAGTTCTGTTCCCAATTCCTCTGCTGATATGCTGTGATTACTTGTCAAATCATTTCAGGTCTTGTTTGTTTGTATCATGAATTTATGTACATGGCTATTATTCTGTTACGAAAATAGTTGCTATCCGAGGAGTCTCAGTAAACTGTTGACATCCAGTATTTAAATGGTGAACTTGGAGTTCTTTTTTTCCCCCTTCCTTTTTGTTCTCTAATAGACACTTATACATACATTATTCAGAAGGTTGTGACAGGGAAATCTATGGCTGCCTAATAGAGCATTTTCTGCACGGAGTATGTGAACTAATAGGCCTTGCATCTGTTTGATTGCATCAGTGTTGGCTGCAGGCTGCACACGCAGGGGCAGCACAGTCATGCATGTTGTCAGTGCTTTGCTGCAGATAATTCTGTTGGATGATTACAGTAGGCTGTGTGGTACTTTTGGCTTCTGCATCTTCACCTGCATCAGCTTTTCTGTGAATCTCTCTTTTGTCTTTGACGTGCTAGCACTTTGTATGATCACTGATGTTCTGTTAGTAATGACTCGTAATCCTTTGGGTTTTTTGGTAATACCATAAAAGAATGATAGCATTATTAAATTATTGAGAAAGAGAACAAGTTTTCTGAATCCCTAATATCTCCCCCTCGTACTCCCTCCCAAAAAAGTCCCTTCTTCCCTTTGTCCTCTGTAGCTTTTGCTGCCTAAGCGCTTGCATTTTACTGCTTTACAAAGCAAGTAAGTGTATGAGAGGGGGTTTTGCTTCTATTCTGTTTTCCTCCTTGCTTCAGGAGGGAAGATGGTAGTTAGCATTATATTAGCTCTGGTGAAGACCCTCAGTACCAGAGGTGCAAGCATGACTGGGCTGAAAAATGTGCTGCAGTTTAGTGTTGCAGTATTCCCCAGGTATGTGTTGCTCATCCTTTGGCACCTGTGGCAGTAATGTCATGTTTATCACTGTTACCTTCCCATGGATTGATTTACAAAAGTATTCTCAAAGTGCAGGTTTTTTTGCATAGGTATAAAAACAAATAAAATCTAGCGTTATTCCACTTCACAGGTAAGTTTTATTTCAACTGTTAACACTGTAAAAGCATTACATTCAGGTGATGGCAGAAAGTGAACGGCGCTCAGGTTTGTGCAACTGCTCTGCATGTTGCTCAGCTAATGGATGGAAGCAGAGGGTGGAAGACATCTCTCCAGTGTCACCTGATCCATCCCCAACCCAACCCATCAGCTGTTTCAGAGTCTTTCCTGGTGGACAACTGAAAATGTGAGACCTCTCATGATGAAATGCCACATTTTTCAGCTCCCCTGCCCGTATCTGGGAAGATTTGGTCTCCAGAATATAATCTAAGCAAGTGAGAAGTATCTAGAAGATAACTAGCAAGGGGGAAGGGTTGAAAACAGTCAGATGCCTGTGCAATTTCACAGCATTATTTTTTTACATTATTGTTTAAGCTGCCATCTAATCAGTACTATGCAAACAGTTGTGCGATTGCCTTCATGTTTATGGGAAAGATTTGCATGTTAAGTATGAATTACAGAGCATCTTTAACAAGTCATATGTTCTGCCCATTCAGCAGTAGTGAATGTTTGCTCCTCTGGGAAGCACAGCACTTGTTGAACTCCATATATGTGTTTTAATGGCATTGCTCTGTGCATAGCTCCCTAAGTGCACCAGCATTTTGGAGGTTAGCAAGTGCTGTGTGCTGTAAGACGGGGTGCTCTATAGGCAGAATTTCAAGCAACTTAATTGAGCAAAGAAAAAGTTAAAAGGTATATAAATGTGGTAAGTGGTGAGGCATTCTTGTGGGCGTTTTGAGCAATGTGTGTACAGAATGTATTCTCATAATTTTTGTGTGTAAAAGGATGCTTACACATTTGGAAATTTGACCTAAAAGTGTACACAAAATCTTTGGATTTGTTTTAAAGGGTAGTATTGAGAAGTCAAAATGTAATTCTGAATATTGTTTGTGTTTTTTGGTTACCGGTGGAGAAAGTGTTCTTTCTTTGCCCATGTCCAGAACTATTTTCCCAAGAAGCATCTGGGAAATGCTCCAGTAAAAAAATAGAGAATAATCTGCCTGGGGAAGACACTTATAACCAATGTTTGTGAGTTTACATCCTGAACTGCTGCATTGTTTTGGTTTTGTTTTGTTTTGTTTTTTTTTGAGACCAGCCAAGCTCTTAATAATATAGCAGTTAACTTTTCACCAGGCTGAAGGTCTGTGTCAGAGGCGAGTTCCTTGGAGAACTTCTATCTGCCATAGATTAAATGAAATCAAACTGTAGAGAACTGCAAGGGTACAGGCAAAGGGGATGGATTCAGGCTTTTTTTTCTGTGGTACCCAGTGCTAGGATGAAAGGCAACAGGCACAAACTGAAACACAAAAGGCTCTGTCTGAGCATCGAGAAACACTTCTGTGCTGTTTGAGTGACAGAGCATTAGCACACGTTGCCCACAGAGGTCATAGAATCTCCTCCTTGGAGATCTTCAGCAGCTGCCTGGATGTGGTTCTGGCCAACCTTTTCTGAGTGTCCCCACTTGTCCTGGTTGGACCAGGAGGAGCTAGAGGTCCTGCCAACTTCAGCATTCTGTGATTTTGTGAAGTCAAAGCTCCACTGAAATTGCGTATCTTCACTTAGGAAAAAGTGATAAATGTTAAGGTAAGTTTTTTTTGCACTACTGAACAAATATAGTGATGCAGGCTCATATCTGTAATGTGCTGTTGTTAGTATTTCTCCAGGTATTTCCTGATTTATAGCTGTGATTACAGTTTACAATGTTACAAGATCAGCAAGAAGGAAGGCATAAACTCATGAATATCAGGAACACGCCAAGACATTGCAAGTTTGACTGAGTAAAGATCAGAATTGAGGATGACAGGTCACAGATAATTGTGCAAGAAGTGCAGAAGCTGAAGAGTGTCTCCTTTCTAGAAAAAAAAAAAACCATGAAACACTAACAACAAAAACTATTCCTGCTCAATGTGGGAGCAGTATATATCTATTAATTGACTATTCCATGTGACTACAGAAAATCAGACTGAAACTGGTATAAAATGGCCAGATAATATCCCCAACAAGCAGCACCATTAACTTGTCATTCTACGTAAAGGAAGAGGATGTGTACTATAATGAGGGTCAGTAGATTTTAAGTACATAAATGTTTTGAGAGACAGATACTCAGCAGGACTCTTGCAGTGATGCAGAGAGGAATGGAGTGCAGTTTTTTAACTTTGAAAAATGATTTGCTGTGTTAACTTAGTGGGGGGAGTATTTTGGCAGATAGAGGAGGCTCATCTTTGAGTCCTGAAGACAGTGCTTATTAGTTAAGTTCACACATTGACAAAGTAATCAACAGCCTTCTGTGACTGTTGGCAGCTAGTTTAAACTTAAAAAGTATTTAAAGATCACCAGAGCTTGCATTATACTTTGTCTCCAAGGATTTACTTTCTCATACGCTCAGTAACTAGAAATTCAGGACAATAGATGGTTGAAGTTGGCAAGATGCCAGCTTCATTTTGCTATATTTGGGCTTTGTTAACTAGAAAAGCCAAGCATTTAGGCATTGGGTGCCTAAACAAAAGTCTGCTCTGCTTGCTTCAACCTTGTGCTGCATAGGGTGATTTCTGTGTTTAAAGAAAAAGGGGAAAAAAAAAAACCGGCTCTTACATCCCCCAAACAAAATGATAATGCCTGGAAGGAGGTTCACTTCTTGGTGAGAATGGTGAAGAGTAACAAGCAATGAAACAGCAGCTGTGTTATTTTGGTGCTAGTCCACCTGATAGTTGGCGTTATCGAAAAGAGGGGTGATGGTTCCATCTTTCCACTCAATGAATATCTCTCCATGCCGCAAGGAAGGGGAACGAGATGGTGGGAGGTATGGCTGGGGGCATCGTCGTAAGGGAGACGTCTCCTGTAAGTCAGCTCTGCTGCTGCCTGGGGGGTTCTTCAGAGCAGAGAGGATTTTCTTCTTCCTGGGGTAAAAGAGGCAAGGGTATGTAATTGCATCTGCCTATCACTTTGTTGCCTTTCCACGTAAACTGAATCAGCAACCATGATGCCCAAATTCCCTTAACAGCCTTCAAGGATTATACTGTATGTACAGGGAACAGCAGTATTTGCATGGGATGGTGAGTGGGAAAGAGAATAGTAGAGAGGAGAAATCATCAGTGACATCATGGGTGAGCACAGCCACATTCTGAAATGCAAAACAGGGGTAACAGACTGAAAGAAAACATAATCTAACTTACTTGTTGTAATGAACATTGAGTGTCAGTATTATTAATCCCAGTATGAATGCCAAGGGGCTGAGAACTAGCATTGCCGTCTTCCAGTTGGTGCCTGGGAGGAAGTAATAGGAAACAATCATGCCATGCTTATCCCCATTCTTATGCGATAGCCAGTGTTGCTGCAAAAACACATCAAATATCTCTCCAAACTAGCAGGTAACAGAAAAACTGCTTTTTTTTTTTTTATATAACATCAAAGCCATACAGCTGCATTAAGTTGCACAGTATCCCTCTGGAAAGATTTTATTTCTTGCCTGGAAGATGACTGCCGTTGATTCTTCCCTGTTCTGCAGCACTCTGACATAAAATAAAAAAAGGCTGAGGAAAGGCACTCATGTTAGTGCGTATTTGAATTTCTTATGCTGAACAAAGTATTCTCACACGGGACAAAGTATCTGTATGTTTTCACTTATTTCTAGGCCTGGGGAGATTGGCTTGACCTTTCAGGGGAGCTTTTCTGGGGTTCTTGTTCCTTACTAATCATCCAGGATGCAGCATCATGTAACTGCAGCGGATAAGAAAGTCAGTGGCACTGATGAGCCTCTATCTAGCTGTTCTCTGTCCTGTGCTGATCTCTGGACCTACCTGCAAGCCTAGCCCCAGTGGTTTTCCCTCGATTTCCATGATGCTTTTTAGAGTGATTGTACAGCACATCTGGAGAAAGAAACAGAAAGACACAGATTAATGGTTTCCATTGTTGGACCAAAGGAAGCTCTGGTTTCTTCCTGAGCTGAACTGCAGCCACTTGTATGGAGCTAGAAAGGGATAAAAGGCTTGTTCCTCAGTGTTTCCCTGTGTCTCGCTCCAATTGTTGGAGGAGATGGTTTGATAGATGTACCCGATCACAGATGTCTTTGCTCCTAGCA